TCTGGTTTTAAATTGAGCTTTATGTGGTCATTTCTGTGACGTGGAATGAGCTGGAACACAAACACCACGTGTAAGGCTTTATTGGAGGTCGCAAGAAAAAGAGAGGTGTTGCCAGGGTGAAGAGGAGGGAGGGGTTGAAATTAGTGGAGGTAGGTGACAGGTTGACTAGGGATGACATGCCGGTTGTTGTTGTTAGGTGCCATCCAGTCGGTACCAACTCATAGCGACCTTATACACAGCAGAACGAAACACTGTCCGATCCTGGGCCAACCTCACTACTGTTGCCACACTTGAGTCCATCGATGCTGCCACTTGGCCAATCCATCTCGCTGGGGTCTTCCTCATTTTCTCTGACCCTCCACCTTACCAAACATGATATCCTTCTCCAGTGACTGGTCGCTCCTGACAATATGTCCCAAGTATGAGAGAAGAAGTTAGGCCATCTTGGCCTCCAAGGAGCACTCTGGCTGTACTTCTTCCAAAACGGGTTGTTGTTGTTAAGTGCCGTCTAGTCGGTTCCGACCCATAGCGACCCTGTACAGGGTTTCTGAGGCTTTAAATCTTTATGGGAGTAGAAAGCCTCATCTTTCTCCCGCGGAGCTGCTGGTAGCTTCAAACCACTGACCTTAAGGTTCGCAGCCGGATTTGTAACCATTATGCTACCAGAGCTCCAAAACGGGTAGGGAGAGGGAAAACGTGGCAAGCAGCCATTTTATTAAGCGTGGAAGGGGGCAAAGAGGAGGGAACTGCATATCTGGCGTGTTCTTCTGGCTAGCTCGTCCTGTTGCTTGACAGTGGTTGGTATCGGGCCATGAGAAATTTGCCATGAGGAATTCACCCACCGTCTGGTTTGTGAAGGCCCTCATGCATTCCTGAAGAAAAATTTGAAGACAGCGAAACCAGTAGGGGCCAAATAACAGTATCAGGAGGATTATCGTTAATGACCTTAGGAAGGGGAGGAGCCAAGGCCACCAGGAGGACATAAGGGCCCAACCATGGTTTGCTGTTTCTGATTGCCTAGAGCGAATTCTGTACTTTAATTCTTTTACTTTGCTGAGGACTATGTCCGACCTATTGACAAAATAACAGCATTTCTCACCTAGGGTCTGGCATATTCCTCCTTTCTTGGTGGTGAGGTGGTCTAAACCGTGTCTGTTTTGGAGGACTACTTCAGCTAGTGAGTTAACTTGATTTTGTAAGGCAAGGAGGGTGTCTGCTACCCTCTTCATGTCCCTGTTCAGAGCTTCTGAAAATTTTTGGAATCGTTGTATGGACGTTCCTATTCCCCCGACTCCCGTTCTACTCCCAACAGGCTGCTAATTCCTGTTCCTATGGCTACCCCTATTGCTCAGCGAGTGCCATGAGAAGGGAGGAATATGGTATCCTTATCAGCTGGAGTTAAGATTCGGGCTGCAGGGAATAAGTATGTGACCCCACACAGGTTTTGTGTGGGTAGGCATTTGAAAATTTCTTTTCCATGTAAGAAATATTCCTTTCGGCCCACATGTTGGGTTGCTTACCTTTGTTATGTCAGTGCACCAGGAGTTTGGAAGGGAGAGGGAGGAAAGGTTAGTGATGTTGTTGTGGTCATGAATGCAGGGGAGGTTGGAGGAATTACTGAGGCCAGTCTCCGTGAGGAGAGGCCCTGTATACTACTGTATGGTGGTTGTATTAGGATATGATTTAGGGACTGGGTCAGCAAGAATGGCTGAGTACCCCAGGTCCCTGTAGGGTAAACAAACCCAGCATGAGGTTTTATTGAATATGGTTCCTATTTCAGTGATTAGCGTGTGTGTTTTCTCCTCTTATCACACCCAGTAGGAGACAACACCTGTTCCCATACAGCCCAGCCACAACTGTACCGTCTGTAGCTCCACCCACTGGACAAGAGGCCATACCAGTTCCGATACTACCTGATCAATGATATACAGAAGCCATTATCAGTCAAACCCATCTAAGCTGAGGTGTATGAATGATGAATGGAGAATGATGCATGCGCTTCCATTCTCTAACAACACCCACAGGAGACAGTTGGTGAGATCCTAAGAATTGGTGAGATCCTAAGAACACATCAACATACAATCATCAATTAAATACAAATATGGGAACACCACAATGTCCCAGAGACAGCAGACAATTTTAGCTCACATGAAGAAACAAGAGGAAGTGGCTCAAAAAGTTGACTAACATGCAGAGACAGAAAACAATTTTGAGGAAGAAAAAGTTATAGAACTACTTGAGAAAGAATTCAAAAGAATGACATTTAGGTACCTTCAATGGATTGACAGAAAGATTGAGGAAAGCAATGAGAACACAGAAAAAACTAAATAAGAATTCAGGAAAACACTACAAGAACAAATAGAGAAAAGTAAATGCAAAATCTGAAAAAATACCAAACCTGCAATTAGAAATCCAGAGGATTAATACTAAGATTTTAGAAATGGACAATACATTGAAAGGGCAAAGCAACAGATTTGAAGCAATGGAAGTCTGAAATAGTATGCTAGAAGAACAATTAAAAAAAGGAATGAAAATATCTCAAGAAAGCCTAAGAGTTATGTGAGACACCATGAAGAGGAATAATTTATGGGTGATTAGAATTCCTGAATAGGAAGAGACAATAAAAAGCACAGAAAAAATTGTCAAAAAGTTGTTGGAAGAAAACTTTCTTAACATCATGAAAGACGAGAAGATAAGCAATCACAAAGCTGAATGATCCTCAAACAGGAAACCATCCAGTCATATCATAATCAAACTTTCCAAAATCAAAAAAAGGAAAGAATCCTGAAAGCAGCTTGGGAAAAATGAAAAGTTACCACAAAGGAGAACCAGAGAAACTAAGTTCTGATTTCTCAGCAGAAACCATGTGGACAAGAAGGCAATGGGATGACATATACAAAACTCTGAAGAAAAAAAAACCTTGTCAACCAAGCATCGTATATCCAGCACCAGCAAAGCTGTCCCTCAAATATGCCAGTGAAATAAGAACATTTCCAGATAAACAGAAATTAAAG